GCTTAACACGTGGTGTATGTAAGGAGTGTCGATCAAAAAAATTTACGATTTTTATAAGTGGTCAATCTGTATTATTTTTAAGGTTTTATAGGGACACCTTTTATTTTTTCATTTTCGCATGACAACATCCAAAAGTTTTTATGGAGAATCTTCTTCTTATTCTTCTTCTTTCTGCTTCTCTTCTTTTTATTTGCTGTCACCTTCGTTTACGAGCTCGTTAAGCATGTACGGCGACGATCACTCTTAATTATTTCATTCCGTTTCGGGATTCGTTTGTTTTTTCACTCAGTGGTATCGCGGTTAGCTGAAATGTGGTATACGTGTGTTTCTCCTATTAACAGTAAAATAAACCAGTAATTAATTGTAACTAAAATCGTCTACCCGCGAGAAAAGTCCTTTAAAGTAACATAATTCTATAATATCGACATCAAATTTCGTCACTAACTCTTATCATTTTAATCACAGCCCAACGCTGCAGTCAAAGTCATGTACCCACCAGAGTACTCTGAGATGGTTATACAACTTGTCACTTTATATGCAAATTTAGGGTTCATAGCAAAATTTGATAGCATCGTCGAGCTGGCGCGCCAGCATATTGGCTCATCACGATATTTCTCTTGATCGGTACTTGGAATCCTAAAAAATCGGGGTGAAACGAAGTCGAAGTTGTTAAAAAATTTTAAAACCTTTCGATCGACCTGTCTCGAGCTGCTTTCATTTTATGGCTATCTTTCTTTCTTTCTTTCGCAAACTGGTTTTAATCTCTTCATTTTAATCTCTCCTTGTTTGGGCTTGACCATCTTATCTTTCGATCTACGCCAAACATATGTTGACATATCAGTTTTAAAGTTGAACCGTAGCATATACTGCATCTTTTAAAATTTAGTTTTATTCAACCAAAAGCGCAACGTGTTTTCGACGCTCGTTTCTATTAAACTGAGCAGTAACCGCGCAAAGTCTAATTTTTAGTACTCATTTGTGCGATCTACGACGTAGCGATCTGAGCATAGAGCACGTTAAGAACTACTTTTTACATAGTCGCCGAATTTAGTTTATATATTTTTTTACTATCCTTTAAGCTTTAGTTAAGTTAGAAAACTTTTTTTGTAGTTTCGAGAATCTCGTATAGCTAACTTTTCTTGAATAGCCGTTTTTTACCTAAGCGTTAGACGTTCATTAAATTCGCATCAATGTCTTGTCGCGAGATTAGAATAAAAGATTAAGTAGTTACGTGAATTGAACAGAACTTGTCGTACCAAATATTGTAGTACCGTTCTGATGATTCGTACCACTCGTGACAAATTTTTTTAAAAAAAAAGGTAAACTTGTAGTTCTATCTGGCCATGTGTCACAATTTTATAAACCCTTTATTTTTTTTTATCGATTGTGATGAAAATGTAACGAACAGATGTATTATGTGAATCGCTATACAATATAGTAAAGTATGTACGAAAAAGTTAGCATAGCATTCTATACATACGATTGAAAAACAAAATCTATTTCAACAAAATCTATACACCAGTATTTAGATGTCCACAATTTTGATTTTCAATATTCAGTAGTAAAAATTTAAGCACCAGCCTATGTGAAATTCTAGTATAACATGTATCTACTATTTTCATATATCAATCAAATATATCAAATAATTTAATTACATATACTAAATACTAAACTGGTCAGCACGTTGGTTCGACTCTAGCATCGAAGGTATAGATACTACGACAAATAAACGAAGCGATATTTGGAACCACACTAAGTTATGTCAAACGGAGAATCATATCAATTTTTATGTTTTGAAAAATATGATATGTGGCGAACAGACAAAAATTTTAAAAGCAGATGTTTCAGGGTCTTTATTACGTTTATAGTAAATACAGCTTACTTTTTTCGAAAAATATTTAATGTACGGATTTAATGCTTCCTTCCGATTTTATTTTATGTATTAGATTAGACAATCAAGCAGACATAAGTATGGTATGTCTGAACAGGCATTAATTAGTTCGGATGCATCATAAAATCTCAAATTGCGTGTTACACCATGACCACACCACGGACTGTGGTGTATTTAGATAGTGGTTATGTCTATACATGTATACGTGCAAAGTCAATTCCGAAACTTGATATCCAATAAGGGCACACAAGGTCCAGACAACCTTGACTAGCCCGTGAAAATCCATTTCCTGTTACGCCCGAGTAAATAGAGGCGCACATGTGGATCGTTACTCAGAGCCGTGAGCGGTGCGTCGCACACACATGAGGTACTCGATGAGGGCGCGTTGTACGTGGATATTTGTATTTGCTAATGTCAACTTTATATGGGGCGATAGCCGTTGAAGCCTTCTACGACAATGTCACATCGTTAGTGTGGATAGGTTTAGAACTATAATAACATAAATGTTATGTAAAAATCTCTAAGCAATTTTTACAAGAAAACTCCAATTATTAGAATGTGAAAACCTATTTAAAATATTTTTAATTCATTTCACAAATTAACACAAAACAAACGTTGAGTTTTATTGTTATATTTGATTTATCCGTTAGCTTGTTGATATTTAGTTTCATAATATCTCAAGTTACATAATATACAAAAATCTTCCCAAAAAGGGAATCAATTTTCTCGACCATCTTTTTATTTTGTTCATGTAAATAACATTTTGCTTTCTCAACGGAACTAAAATAAGATTAACAATAGGAAACTGGAATTCTAGTTCTATTTCTAACATTATTATCAAGAATTTTAGTGTCTTAATTATTACATCAATTTACCAAAAATTTTGTTTAAATTTCTTCATATCTTGTTTTTTTAATCATTGAATTGATTAAAAAAAGTTGTGAATAATGTCTATATTATTTATTAGAATATGAAAGAGAAAATTTTGAAAATTATCATTTGTTATTTATAAATCTTTCTTAATATAATATATAATAACTGTTATGGAAAATAAGTAATTAATTCGATGAAATGTAACGTAAAACACATTAAAATAATGTAGAGCAATTGGATATAATCGTTACCTATACAAATATATACTTAATTTTGCAATGCTTTAAATATACTCGCAGAATATTACGAAAATAAATAATAACAACGTAATATTCCCAATATAATCTTGATTCGACTCACATAAATTCTTTTTTCGCAAAATCAAATCCTCAACTAGTAATGCTTAATCTCGGCATCACGGGCCCCATTATGAGTTTCGACACGTTCTTGCCAGATTCTAACACATAGGAAAGGGCTCATAAACATTCTCGTTACCGACTCTGGCTATAAATTTTTATTTCTGTTTTAATAGCGTTCGCAGCGAGCAAAGAAAATCACCGAAGACTTGCACGGGAATCGTGACTTATGCTTGAAACGAAATGAAAAAAAAAAAAACCAAAGCATCCGTTTTATTGACCCTCGAAGGCGGAAAACCGTGAATGTATTCGTGAAACTTACGAACGGAAGGGCACTGTTTCGAAATGTAAACAATCACCTGTTCCTTGAGCTCATCCGATGCTCCAATGCCTGACGAGGAAGAACTTTATCTGTGCCTTCACTCGTAACGTCATCGACGTCACATCCCAAGTCTCGTTCTCCGCTGACGAACGTCCGGGCAAAATTTACCGTCAAAAATATCGTAAACACGCTTACAAATTGTGCCTTTTTGTATGCTCAAGAATCCTGTTAAATTAATTGAATTTCCGAAGTTGCTCAAGTTCGGACCAAATTAGGAATGTCACGTTGCGTGCGGGAGGCTCAGAGAGTGCTCAGAGATTTAATTAAATGGGTCGCATGGGAATGGCTGTTCTTAATACGTATTAGGCAATACGATTTCTCTAAAAGTAGAAAAAAATATGGTTTCCTTTATTTTTATGTTTTTCTCGTTGTGTAATACGAATTATTTTTCTTGTAATTTACACAGGCGAATATAAGAAAAAATTTTGCACATCCTTGTTATTTTAATAGTTTTTTCGAAGTGAAAACTATTTTAGACGCGTAAGGCATTTTTTTTGAGATGGGGAAAAAACCATTGAACTCGCGACACTGTTACCGTTACTGTAACCGACGCCTCTGTATAGAAGTATAAACATATTATATTGAAATTTTTGTATTTAAAATAATATGCATTATTTTTCATGTACAATAGAGCATTAAATTAAAATTGTAATATAATTTTGTTAGTAGTAGTTTATAATAATGAATAAAAAACACTTCATTTAACAATATTTCGTGCACAATAAAATATTTTCTGACAATTAAAAAAATACACACATAATTGTTCAAGTTTTCACTTCTGCCAGCGCTCCCGGAGTGTCACTGATTTTTTTTATTTCATGTAATATAATATCAAAAAGATCTACAGTTTTTTTCTGTCACACTGTTTAAATTTTAATATCCGTGTTGTTTTATTTCACGTGTTCTAAATTCAGACATATCCATATTTCTTTTCCACGCTGCTAATTTTTATATGGAAAAAAATGTCATACTTTTCTTCATTTAGGTATACATACATTAAGTTAAAAATAAATTTATTGAAAAATTTGCAGAGAATATATCGATTTCAAATATTGTATTATAATAACTACACTTTTGTCACTCCATAGGGTTGCGTCTGCGGGAGTAATTCTTATGTGGATATCGTTTGAAATATCAAGTTAAAGTTAACAGTTATCAGCGTTCATATTTGCATACCCGTACTAGTGGAGTTTTGTACTTACTCATATTGTATCCCAATATTGATATTTATTTAGTTGAATATGTCGATGACTTAAGTGTTTCTTATTACCCAGAGAACTGTGTACAATATTTTTTAACACACATCAAGCTTTGTCGATCACTTAAATGTTTGTTATTACCCAGAGAACTGTGTACAATATTTTTTAACACACATCATGCTTTCTGTTCGAAAACAAACATTGTCGTTTTAAATCCTTCATCGCTCATCAAGAATCTGATTTCTGTTCCAATTTAAATTGATTACGTGTATAATATCGCAATAGGGTATTGTTATTCTGCCTGATTGACGCAGTTGGTAGCGACCCTGCCTACTGCGCAGGGGGCGTGGGTTCGACTCACGCACAAGACAAACATTTAATTGATTAAAATTAATATTTGTCTTGAGTCTGGATGTCTCTATGTATTTGTGTATATGTTTATGGATTACATCAACCATCTAATACCCTAAGTACAAATCTCGTTGTTTAGTTTAGTATTAGATGATGCTCTGTGTGTCTGAAGAGAAGTACATATAAAATATAAATATTCGTAATTATGTTTTTTTCTGCAAAAAGATTAAGAACTCATGGAAAAGTAGCAAAAATGCTATAATTAGACATTTTTTCTAAAATCAATTAAAGATACAACAAACAATTTCAGTTCAAACTTTCCAGGTATCAATCTAATCACCACAATATAAGTGTGCGCACGTGAATTTTATTAATACAATAATTTCAAGTCATTTCGTTCGTTGATAGGACCCATAAATGCGAGTCCAAATCCCGACTTGGCCGTTATTTTTATCGTATTCTTGAGTTATAGACGTTGCTTTCAATATTCGCACAGAAAAAAAGTCATGCATTTGCTGTTGATAGTGTTTCATTTATCTTTTTTTTTGCTTAAAATGATAATTTTTCGTCGATCATTTTTTTTTCAATATTTTATCCTTGATACCGCAATACAAATAAATCGTATACCTTATCAAAATAAAGAAGAAGATATAAATTTTTTGGCCCCTGCCTGCTGGGAGTGTTTGATATTTTTTGCTTCATCTGTACCCAATTTAATAATTTATCCTGCATTTGCGAACCTGAACAAAAAAATACAATGTATAAGATTAACAAAAAAGACAGTAAAACAAAAGAAAAATTGCAACAGTTTGGAGGAGTTTACAAGAAAATTTTAAAATTTAATTTAATAAACGTAATTTTATTACATCTAAGAATCGTAAGTGGATTTTAAAGTTTTTCATCAAATAAATACGGGCTACAGGAAATGTTTAAAGAATCGTATAAGGTGACTTAGAAGATGGGTCTGATTATGAAAACAGAATAGGCTAAACTTATGGCAAAAGAAAATCAAGTATGTTATCTTAATGAAAGTTATTATTTCAATATCTTTTATAAAAAGCAATCAAATAGTTATTATTACTATAAATATTAAACATATACCGTCTTATTAAGAGTCGCTAGTCTAACTTTAAAACGTGCTTAAATAACTGTTTAACGCGAGTTTACAAAAAAGTCTGTTCAGAAATCTTGTTTAAATTATAAACACTGTTTACACCTTGTTTAGCCGTCATACAATTTAAACATAGGCAAAGAATGTTTAACAGTGGTCCAAGGATTGTTTTACTGAATATTTGACGTAGATTGTCAAAAGTGACATTTGATTATCGTGTTATTGTCGTTAAGTTAGAGATTAATTTTTATAAATTGCGAATTGTTAATTCGAAGCCCATTCGTAATGGAAAAATTATCTGAAATTAAAGAATTTCACAAATGTTTCACTAAATATAAATTTTATATATTTATGTAATTATATAAATGCTTACTTTTCGTTACTTGGATGCCAGATACTAAATATTTTCGAGTTTTTTAAAACATTTTTGATCAGAATGTTGCCATTATAACGCTTAAACACGGTTTTAGTTAGACTGCAGTCTAAGTGACATTCTAAATTGCTTAATGCCTAAACACCCTGCTTAAGAAGTAAACAGTGTTTAGTTAAACTACCGTTGAACGATGTTTTAAATAAGGCCTCTGGATAAGGCAGTTACTGTGTTTAGTATTTATAATAATAACATAATGTAACATAAAATAACAATAACTTATACAAACAATGCAAAAAATATTAACATTATAGTTTTTATTAAATTATCAGACTGTTTTCTCAAGATTAGTTCATTCTAGATTAGCTCAAGATCGCTTGCAAGTTAAGATTTAATTACAATAGAATTTTGTTCTTTTTTTATTTGTAATTATGTTTTAATAATGTTGTTCACTTTAAGTTGCGTAAACAAATAACACTTAGGTTTAGTTTAAATAGTTGTTATTGAACAGTAGTAAAACATATCCTATGTTAACGTATCTTAAATACTATTCCAATTTATTTTATTCCCTATAAAATGAATTGTCAATTTCTATTAATTATAAGTGTATCCGGTATGGTTTATGGCTCATTAGATTAACTCAATATTAAGTGCAATTTTATTTAAAGAGGTACACATCGACATTCTATCGATGAATCTTCGGAACCGGTGTGTATCCTTGTATCGTTTAAGATAAACATCGAGAAACGCTTAAACTCTTAATTAACTTTTTTGTCAGACTATCGCAACAGCCAGTCGTTTTATTAGGGTTCCTTATCCAAAAGAGAAATACCATAAAGTTTACACGTTAGGATACTGGTGATCTCAGTGATTGCTATGTTATTAACTATAGAACTTAAATTAAGTACAGATGCCGAAATCATCTTCCCACAGTTAAATATTATGTAAAATTATTAATTTTTATTATTTAATTAAATAGAAAATACATTTGCATATTTTATACAAGTTTTCAAGTTTGCCAAAAACATAATACAAGATTCAGGAAAAAGTACTGAATTGTTTCAAGGTTTTTCGGTCTTGTTTCATGAAATTGGATGTTTAATAAAAACGTATAATATTTTCTTGAACTTTTTATCTGTCTAACATTACGTTTGGCCTTCTCGTGTACTTGTTTCATTTCGTTCAATTTAATAAAGCTGTTTATTTACTGACAATAAAAGACACTATAAGCCGTTGAAAGTTTCTTTTCTTCTCTTCTCTGATTTTATTTTTTTGGCAAATATGCCAAAAAGATTTGATATTGTTTCATGTTTCAAAAGTAACCGATTATTTATAAAATGAATTGCAAAGGAAAATTTTGTAAAGAGTGCGGTCGGTGCCTCCTTCCATGTGGCCCCAATTCGACGAAGATAGATAAATCCCAAATGACTATTTGACACATGGCTCTACTTCTGTAATGCCAATTTCGAAAGTCATAAATCATTTGAAAGATCGATAACATCGTCACAGCTTTCTTTTAAAGCTATCCCTCCGATACCATGATCTTTGTACTATTGTTATTTTACCCTCCTAAGGTCCGTTTTAAAAATACTTAAATCTGTATTTGTGAAATCGAAAAAGAATAATAAATAGACTTCTGTCAAAAGTAATATAGGGTGATCTGTATTCAGGAACCTAGGAAAAAATGCAGCAACTTAAAAAAGCGCGTGGACGCATATTTATCTTGACAAAACGTGCGTCTATACAGGTTAGTTACTGTAAAATTTTGTTTGTAAATTTCACACGAAAACAGATAAATTTGGACAAAATTAAGTCATTTTGAAAATTTCTTCCTTTAAAACTTTCGGATGTACAGACACGTAGTTTTTGTAGATTTCGCTTGTATTTTAATATAATGGATATTTTATTTTAGGCCAAATCGTTAAGAGTTATGGATTAATATAAAATAATGCTACGAGATTTCAAAGAGGATTCATCTAGAGTTTCGAATTCCAAAGTCAAGAGTTAAAGAGATCAATTTATGATATTTCAAAGGAAAATGTAGAAGGATTCGTGAACGATTGTTTACAGGTATCTGAGTCAAAATACGGTACTGCCTGTCATGAGTTTATGGCTACACCACAATTTGATGAATGTTTAAAATTATTAGGTAAAGTAAGACTTATTTCGGCTATAGTTATGTATGATTCTGTTACGGTTATGAATACTATTCGAGATAAAAATAAAACCTTCAGTCGTAAAATAAAATGAAAAATAAAGAAAAGCGATTTACAAGAATGGTTACGATCAATGAAAAGGATTAGATACGAAAAGCATATTATACAATTTCCGTATACATGGGCAAAAAGAGTTTGAAATCTTACCGGATTGTTTTATTATTCTGTAATTGTTTGATATTTACTGTAGTTGTGTGTGATAAAATTAAAGCTTTAAGCTACTCATAAATTTCTTGGGTTCTCCTTAGGAAAAACTGCCTTCCGAACGAGTAGTAAAGTGTAAATTCGAAAACATATCATGACTTATTTCAAGAATTATTGACCTGTGAAATAAGGATATTTTGAAATTGAATTGGAACTTCTTTTTTCTTTTATAAAAATATAACAAAAATAAGATTTATGGGAAAAAAAGAGAAATTATTAAACATTATTATTGAACTTATATCACTGACGAAATAGTTAAAGAGAATAATGGAAAATTTATTATTTACACTATCTCCATGCTACTACTATTTTAACTCGATAGAATTCATATGAACAGATATAAAAGTGTGTGTTGCAGAAAATAATGAAAACCGTGCGCCCATATGTCACAACCGTATAAGTGTGTCATATGTTCATCGATTATGACGAAATTCTATAGACATGTGTCGTATGTGAAACTCTATACAATTATGTAATGAAATTGCAAAGAAATGTACATATGTAAAATCGAAGAAGTTAAAGCTATTTCCTCGCCATCCCATTCGTCACTCCATTGTGTGGTGTCATTAGATTTAAACAGTTTTCCGTTGTTAATAACAAGAATATAATCACCAGCTTATACGGGTAACTAATGTGTGTTTCAATACAATAGATGCCATTCAAACACAAATTTGTGCATTACTATTTTAGAGCTTAGAGGTTGAAATTTTTCATATTTATAAAAACTAATACAATATCCGTCTTATTTCAACTTATAGAAATGAGAAATTTTATCTAGTATCGTACGGTTAGCACAGAGTCCTAGATTTTTTTTTAGTTTTCAAGTTTCTGTTGAGAAAATTGAAAGTTTTACAAAAAACTTTGTTATTATATTTTTTGCTTCTATTCTTTCTATGAATTAAGTGATATAAACGATTGTTCGCCAGTGATAACTTACGCAATGGCGTCAACAATGGTGGCCATCATCTTCAATCATTGGTCTATTCAATTCGATTAGCCAATTCTCGTATTGACCATCGATGATATTGGTAATGAATGGTATTAAAACGCATTTTACATTGCTTTCTGTTTACTCTGGAGTACACACACCACGTTTTGTATGCATTTTTTTTTAATATG